GTCCGGGAAAAACCGGACGTATGGTAACCCTAAAAAAGGAGATGGAGGTGACTGTAGGGAGGATCTGGAATATGTTCTGAGCAGTCCTGAGGAAGGAAGTGCAGAACAAGCTAAGCCTGCAGAAAAGGCTTAAGTTTAGCTGCTTTGATTTCTTTGATGATAAAGCGAAAGCTCAAGAATGGGGATATGAGTTTTGACTATACACTTTTTTTAAAAACAGGTGGGGAAAGTACCTACTCTCATGCCCTCAATTGCTTTTGTAAGCATAGTGCTCCTCTGTAGAGACTCTTCTGTAATACACATGTTGTTTTGATAAGTCTTGCTTGTGCTCAGCACAAGTCGAAACATATGTAAATGGTAGATGCAGATATAGCAAGGCAGTCATTGTGAAAGTTCTGCCAGGAGTCACTGGGAAGCTGCGGCCTCAGTCCTCCTTTTGCAGTCAGGCAAGCATGAAACGATTTAGAATTACAGAAGAATTTTTGAATTTCAGTAATATGCTTTTGGACTGTTCAGTGTTACTACTTTTTCAATGAAGGTTAAGTTGTGTACTGAATACTTATGACCTTCAGAAGTTCTGTCATCTTTATCTCACTTTCATTGTCTGAGTAGGGGGTAGAGACCTTCTTGTCATGCTTCTGTTTGCATTCATGGATGGCATCTGCAGCAATTCAACTCAGTATTTTATTGGTTATTTTTTCAGCTGTAGAATCAGTAGCATTACGTAGCAATGCGGTTTCCCCTTGGATATATGTAACCATTATTGAATTATTTTTGCATTGATGTTGATGATGATGCTTTTAGCTCCACCTGTATTTTTTTTCTTTTCTCTTCATTTACAACATATAATAGTGTTTTTGGCATGTTTAAATTAGAGCTGTCCATTAATCGCAGTTAACTCACACGATTAACTAAAAAAAATTAATTACGAGTAATTGCAGTTTTAATTGCACTGTTCAACAATAGAATACCAATTGAAATTTATTAAATATTTTGGATGTTTTTCTTCACTTTCATATATATTGTATTCTGTGTGGTAATTGAAATAAAAGTGTATATTTTTATTACAAATATTTGCACTGTAAAAATGATAAAAGAAATAGTATTTTTCAATTAATCTCATACAAGTACTGTAGTGCAATCTCTTTGTTGTGAAAGTGCAACTTTCAAATGTAGACTTTTTTTTTTGGTTACATAACTGCACTCAAAAACAAAATAGTATAAAACTTCAGCGCCTACAAGTCCACTCAGTCCTACTTCTTGTTCAGCCAACCACTAAGACAAACAAGTTTGTTTACATTTACGGGAGTTAATGCTGCCCTCTTCTTATTTATGGTGTCACCAGAAAGTGACAACAGACATTTGCATGGCATTGCAAGATATTTACGTGCCAGATATGCTAAACATTCGTATGCCCCTTCATGCTTTGGCCACCATTTCAGAGGACGTACTTCCATGCTGATTACACTCATTTAAAAAAGTAATGTGTTAATTAAATTCGTGACTGAACTCCTTGGGGGAGAATTGTATGTCCCCTGCTCTGTTTTATCTGCATTCTGCATATATTTCATGTTATAGTAGTCTCGGATGATAACCCAGCGCATGTTCATTTTAAGAACACTTTCACTGAAGATTTGACAAAACACAAAGGAGGTACCAATGTGAGAGTTCTAAAGATAGCTACCGGGGCGGCTCTATGTATTTTGCCGCCCCAAGCATAGCAGTGAGGCAGCCTTCGGCGGCATGCCTGCGGGAGGTCCGCCAGTCCCGTGCCTTCGGCGTACCCGCTGCAGAATTGCCGCCGAAACTATGGGACCAACAGACCTCCCACTGGCATGCCGCCGAAGGCAGCCTGACTGCTGCCCTCACAGCGACCGGCAGGCCGCCCCCTGCGGCTTGCCGCCCCAGGCACGCACTTGGTGTGCTGGTGCCTGGAGCTGCCCGTGATAGCTACAACACTCAACCCAAGGTTCAAGAATCTGAAGTGCCTTCCAAAATATGAGAGGGACAAGGTGTGGAGCATGCTTTCAGAAGTCTTAAAGAGCAACACTCTGATTCAGAAACAACCAAACCACCAAAAAAGAAAATCAACCTTCTGCTGGTGGCAACTAACTCAGATAATGAAAATGAAACGTGCATCAGTCCGCACTGCTTTGGATTGTTATCAAGCAGAATTCGTGAGCAGCATGGAGGCATGTCTCCTAGAATGGTGGTTGAAGCATGAAGGGACATATGAATCTTTAGCACATCTGGCACATCAATATCTTGCGACGCTGGCTACATCAGTGCCAGGAGAACGCCTGTTCTCACTTTCCGGTGACATTGTAAACAAGAAGTGGGCAGCATTATCTCCTGCAAATGTAAACAAACTTGTTTGTCTGAGTGATTGGCTGAACAAGAAGTAAGACTGAGAGAACTTGCAGGCTCTAAAATTTTACATTGTTTTATTTTTGGAATGCAGTTTTTTTGTACATGAACTTACAAATGTAGAATTAACTTTCATGATAAAGAGATTGCATTACTGTACTTGTACTAGGTGAATTGAAAAATACTGTTTATAGTGCAAATACTTGTGTTCAAAAATAAAATGAACACTGTACACTTTGTATTCTGTGTTGTAATTGAAATCAATATATTTGAAAATGTAGAAAACATCCAAAAATAGTTAAATAAATGGTATTCTATTGTTTAACAGTGCGATTAATCGCGATTAATTTTTTAAATCGCTTGACAGCCCTTGTTTAAATCTGTGTTTATAGGGGGGCTATATCCAGGGTGAAGTATTTCAGTTGCCATCAAAGAATGTAACAGCTTTCTTCTTCAAAGAAGAAGTGGGTGCTCCACTGTAGGTGTGCTTGTGTCCCTGCGTTGTTGATCAGAAAACTTAGATAGCAGTGTCCGTTCGGCCTGCACATGCACCGTCCCCTCCTCATGCCCCACCAAAGGGCTAACCAGCGCGCACAGGAGAGCCCCCTCAGTTTCTTCTCAACCGCCGCTGGCTAGAGACGGAGCCATTAGCGGTCCGTTTGAGGATCATTTTCTCTCTTTCCTTCAGCATTTCAATAGCTAGTTAATCCCCTTTTTCTCTTAGTTGTAGATTTTCTTTATTTTCTCTCCTCCCTCCTTCCCCCCAAAAGAAAAGACTTTTAGTTCCCCTTTGTCTAGGGCCCTTTTTCCTCCAGCGCAGGATATGCCCAGCTCACTTGGTTTCGATAAGTGCCTCTTGTGTAAAGAAGCCATCCCTCTAGCAGCTAAACATTCTCACTGTATCCACTGCTTCAGGGAAGAACACATTTCTCAGAAGTGTGTTCTCTGCCAGCAAGTCAAGCCCAGGTCTCGGAAGGACAGGGAGCTGAGACAAAAACTTATCTTGATGGAGGCAGCTCTTCAGCCTCTGCTGGACCCGTGCCAGGAGTCACCCAGATGGCACAAATCTTCCCCATAGCCCTGGATATTTAGGGACTATGGGTCAAAGAAAACAGCCGCAGACCCCTCACGTAAGACTTGTAAAAAGAGAGCCCCGAGCCAGCCAAAAAAGATTGCTGTCATGCTCAATATCTGTCGGCACCGAGACAGTCCAAACACGGTACCCATAGCTCACGAGGGTCAGAAGCGACAGGTACTGTTGATGCGTCTAAAGGCCTGATGGGCATAGGCACTGAGCCAATGGTCCGGTAGATAAGGACAAAGACAGAGACCATCCACCGCTAAGAAGATGCTGCCAGTACGAGCAGCACCATCGGCACTGTCAACAGTGAGCCACCTAGCCTTGGAGCACTCGACATGGCCAAAATCCCCTATTCCCTCCAGACCAACTCACCAACAATTGCCATTGGCACTGGTTTGGTCAGCACCACAAGGGTTCTGGCACTCAAGAACTCACGGTATCCGATATACTAGAGTCTCCCTTGATCGGTGCTGGGGCTCCAGTACAGAGTCTTCTCCAGACATGGGAATCTTCACCGACAGTGTGTCATGCACCTCTCTACTCTCTAGTGGTGACTCAGATACTGAGCTGGAGGAGGTAGTCTCTGACCACTCTTTATACTCTCCTTATGGTGCCCGATATCAACCTGGGGCTCCCCAGTATTCTCCTCCTCCTGCTCCTCAGCCACCATGATATGGCCAGCCCTGGGCACCACCACCAGGCACTATCACACTGCCCTAGTGGCCCTACTGGGATCCATGGGCAGCATATAGACTTCACATCTCCGAGGCATCCAGCGTGTAACTCACTGTGAGCCCTTGAGACTCTCCCCCTCAACCATGACATTCAGAACCACCGAACATCTGGAGGAGATCATAGAAGAACCAGAGGGCAGATTCGAGGACCAACATCTATTCTTCCCTAGACAAGACAGGGATGGCCCCTCCACCATCCTTAGCTGATGATTTCAGGCTATTTCAGGATTTGGCTAAAAGGGTAGCAGACACACTGCAGATACCTCTAGAAGAGGTAAAAAGATATCCAAGAGCTTATGATGAGTATCTTGCACTCCTGCTCCTCCTCTAGAATAGTCCTCCCAATCAACAAGGCCCTTCTGGATCCAGCCAAGACTATTTGGCAAACGCCTGGCATCGGTCATGTAAATGGGCCAATAAAAAAAATACTACATCCCGGCCCGGGATACAGAGTTGTTTTTTCTCATCCTTCCCCAGTTCAATTGGTGTGGATGCTGTAAACTCCCAGAGTCACCAATACAAAGTGAGATCCACCTCTTATGATAGAGATTGGAAACGCTTTGACCTCTTTGGGGTGGGGGGGAAAGGCCTATTCCTCTGTTACATTGCAATTTAGAGTTGCAAACTATCAAGCTTTAACTGCAAACTTATTGATCAGCTTCCCGGAGTACGAAACTTGCTAGTGGCCAGTCTCCCCTCTACTTTGGAGTTCTTGTTAAGGACTCTGCGGGAGGGAAGGAACCGAGTGGGGTTTGCCAGCATGCACTGGTTAGCCTTGTGCGGGTGGGGGAAGGGCACGAGGAGGGAACAGAGCATGTGTGAGCTGAATGGACACTGCTATCAAAGTTTTCTGATCAGCAGCGCAGGGACACAAGCACACCTACAATGGAGCACTCAGAGAGAGACATCTCAAAGAGCCATCGTTACTGCATAAGGCAAGTAACTTCCTCTTGTTAAAGTTAGTTGTTGGCCTTTCAGTTGTTATAGCATAATCGCTGATCTGTCACTTTTTGGGAGGCAAAGATGAACAGACTTCTCTTGTAAATGAAGCTGATATTGAAAGGATTGTATGTTTGTTCTTTGTACAATGCCTAGAACAATGGGATCTTAGTCCACGGCTGGGGTTCTGAGGCACTACAGTAATACATATATTTAATAATAAAAAGCTGCTGAAAGGCATGGAACAGAGACCTAAATTATAATCCCAGTTATGTTTTGAGAAAGAGGTGGCATCTAAAATCTCATCATTTGCCTTTTCACAGATTTGAAATTAGAGCCTAAAGTTTTACAGTACCAAAAAAAAGTGTTCATGTAAATACTTCAGAATTTCCAAAAATTTAAATTCCCTCCCACAGTAACCTCCACTGAGTTTTTTTCTTTAAAAAAAGACAACCCAGTCCCAGATTTTTCACAGCCTTGATTTCTATTCTGTTGATAAAGGTATTCTTCATCAACACATCAGTTTGTTAGGGTACTTAACATATAGAAATCTGAGATTTATATTGCTTTAGTAATCTTTTTGTTCTATACTCAATAAGCAATATATAAATTCAACAGCATACATCCAGAGTATATTTCCATTACAGAACCAAAAAAGGGGCATAATTAAGATTGGGTGGGCACTGTAAGCCAGCTGAGATGAATAATGAATGATGGATCATCTGACATGCAAACTGGATGTATTCTTTAATTGCCTATTTTCAGATTTTAATTTTTGAAGATAAAGTGTAGAGTTTTTGTAAGACAAGGTAGGTTTTTGGAGGTGTTAGCTGTAAATCTCTGAAACACACTTTCAACCTTTTTGGCCAAATTTGATAAAATTGGATATATTAGACCTGTATGTGTGTTCAGTGTTATGGCATTCTTTGCACTATTAGCTATTTCTGAGAAACGAATTAACTGGAAGATGGAGAACCTTTAAGTCTAGATTAGAATAGCAATTATAGCTTTAGAATTGATGATCATGATCTCATGTACTATTTGCTCTTGTTCTAGCTAAATAATTCCTCTACAGACGAGTCAGAAAGCTCAGGTGATGAAGAGAAGCAGGAGGTAACATCAAATTTCAAGGAGGAATCTAAGATGATAAGGGACCTCTGTCAAACTACCCAGAAGCCATCTAAAAATGAAACTCCAAGTAAAGGGTGAGATAAATGATGTGGGAGGTCTGGTTTATAAATTGATAAGAACTTCCAGACAAACATATTTGTAAGCCTTTGTTTAATATGAATATAAAAATTATTTCCTTCAGTGAAATTAAAATTCCCTTATGTACTGTCTGATCTGTTTTTCTAGGGAATGTCCTACCTCGACAAGTACAGAAGAAGAAGCTATTCAGGGCATGCTTTCTATGGCAGGATTGCACTATACCACATGTTTACCAGGTCATATACAAAGCACAGACTGCACAGATAAAAGAACCTCTCATCAGGAACACAGAAGTTACCCCAGAAGTAAGCATAAGGACAGGCAGCCATCCCAGAGTCATAAAACAGAATGTGGTAGGTACTTACGTTAACTATCATTGCCACGCTATGTTACACTAGGGCTAAGATTTTCAAAAATAAGTGCCTAAAATTAGGTTCCTAGTTCCATAGTGAAGTTCTTAAACAAGTCTGGCATACTTTCCAGAAGTCAGAGAGATAAGTGTGCTCAACACTTCTGTAAGCCAGGCCAAATCTATTTAGGAGCCTAACTTTAACGAGGCCTTAGCTGTCAACCCAAAAGTTTCTTCAGCACCTTTTGGCGTTACAGGAGTTAAACCGGTACGGATGGACGAACTGAAAGCTGTAATTCCCTCCAGGGGAAAAAGCTGAAAGCAATAGTTCATAAGATCTCTCTAACTGTTGCTTTCATGGTATATGCCTCACTAGATAAACCTTAGATTCTCAGTCTGCTTGATGGCTTCTAATACTGTCTCTCTAAAAAGCACATATGGATTTGTTCCTGGAATGCAGATGTAAAGGCTAGACAGTTAATGGCTGTAGCCTTATTCTCATAGGGAGATCAGTTTGGTAAACCTTAGAAAATGTTATAGCTGAAAAGCAGCTGATAAAGGAAACTTTTACCTTTTGGTGAAATGAAAAAGGAAAAATCACAGTCTATTACAGGAACGGGGAAATCATTTTGTAGTCCACAATATTCAGATACCTACAAAAATAGTTTGGAAAAGGAGAAAGTCCTGCAGAGTTGGAATAGAAGATCTGTTCAGAGAAAAATACTCTATCCAAGCTTATCTCCATACACACAAGCACAGTGTGACTAGATGTGGCCTCTGCAAGGGTGTAGCTCATCGGGTGACACCAAAAGTTTTATCTATAGAAATGAACTATGCTGGAGAAATGAGTCCTAGACATAATATAGAAAGGGATATATAATAGAATTGAAGAGGGTCCCAAAGATACAGAATAGCATCAGAAGTTTAAAAACAAAGCAATAATGTAAGCAATAATAGAGGCATGCAATTCAGCAGAGCTAGGAATTGGAGATTTCTCAATACTGCATCTGACGAAGTGAGTATTCACCCATGAAAGCTTTATGCTCCAATACGTCTGTTAGGCTATAAGGTGCCACAGGATTCTTTGTCGCTCAATACTTTTTGTGGCCATGAGTGCGTGGAGGTAGGTGGGGAGGAATCTGTGCTGATACTGGACCAAGGTACCAAGAAAATTTAAATTACACAGGGAGACTTTTTGTATTCTCTCTAGTATCAGCAAATTCTCTCAACATCAATAGATCTAAAAGAAACATGTGCCTATTCCAAACCTCCACATGAAATTCCTCCATTTTTCTCATAACAATTTGTATTTCCAATACAAATTCTTATGGTTAAGAGTATTGACCTGTCCCATAATCTTCACAGATGTCTTAGTGGTCCAATAGCAGCTCTTTGAGAGAAGAGAATCCATACCATTCTTTCTTAAATTGTTTATCAGGACTTAGACGACAATAACACTACAATTCAGTTCTTTCAAGTATGACTTCCTGATAAACCACAAAAAACATCTGCAGCCAGCAAGATCATGACTCACCTAGGTGTCCAGATAGTTACAAAGAGAGATCATTTATTGTGTAGGTGAAGCAATCAAAGATTACGGCTATACTTAGACTGTTTCAGCAGAAACCAGAAGTCACAATTGTCACCTTGTGAGATCCCTTGGGATGCTTGGATCTTGTATTGATTCTTATCTGGACAAGATAACATAAAGCTGCTACAGACCTTTACACTGTCCATTCTTTGGACATCAGCCAGTCTGGGAAAAAGTAGATGGTTCCAAAATACCAGCTTATCACTCAGGAAGAACCAGACACTACTTACCATAGACAGACTTCTGGGAGCCTACATTAGTAAAATGGTTCAGGGGTTATACCTTCAGGAGATGTCAAAAAACTGACTAGAGTTCAGGCCATTTTGACTAGGTCTGTAAGAGTTTTAGTAAGAGATGTCTTAAACTTATTCTGAGAATGACAGACGCCACAACTGTAATAACATGCATCATTTCCCAAGGAAGAAAGAAATTCAGTTGCCCTTTATCTAAAAAGTAGTCCACCATCTGTCATGGGAAAAGAGAAAATTTGTTCTTGAAAACTCGTCACGTGAAAGGGAAAAGAGAGATCAGCACTGCCTGCCTATGATACAAGAATTAGACCAAGTGGAATGAAGTCTCAGCCAAAGACTTGTTACCATGATGATTCACCAATTCAGAGTCAAATCACCGATTCTTCTTTGAGAGGCCTCTGCATAATCCCACATTTGGGATACAGCAGCCATGTGCAGCTCAGAAGGTGGAACCTAACTAGCATTGCCCATCTCACGCACCCCTCTTTGCTTGGCTCTTACCTGTTCATGAGCATTCTAGGGTGTGTCTGTAAAAGGAGGCATAGTACTCCAGTTACCTCTGCTCCTTCCACCTGCCAGAGATGACAAAGAATAGCTCTGGAGAAGATAATCCCAGATGTCTTAAACAGTGCTTTAGTTGTTAATTAGTTTCTTAGGTAGCCTATTTTTATTAAAGTTAAGGTTTTTAGTCCTCTCAGAAATTGACCCAGCAGTCTCCTCCTTTTCTACCCATCTCCCATTTAACCAAAGTTACACACAATATCTAAGTGAAAAAGGCTTTAATTACCTTAAAACTGTACTGGCCAAGAAGGCTGTGATTCTCCAGCCTGATGTAGGTTAAGTTCTTCTATTCTGCTCCCAGCCCACCTTGGTTTTCTCAGCTAAGCCCTATCCCCTCATCGAAACCTTACTGAATTGCTGTCCTGGGACGCTCTTGGGTATGAGGTTTACAAATCAGCATTGTTGTCAGCTTTCATTTTCCTTCATATGGGCATTTAGATTGTAACATTGTAGAGTAGGGTCTATTTTGTGTCTTGCAGTCATAGAAATATAGGGCTGGAAGGGATCTTGAGAAGTCAAGTCCTGCACCCTGTGCTGTGACAGGGCAAATTAAAGTAAGCCACCATCCCTGAGATAGGTTTGTCCAACCTGTTTTTAAAAATCTCCAGTGATGGGAATTCCACAACCTCCCTTGGAAGCCTATTCCAGAGCTTAACTACTCTTTTATAGTTAGAAAGTTTTTCCTAATATTTAACCTAAATCTCCCTTACTGCAGATTAAGCCTGTTACTACTTGTTCTACTTTCAGTGGACATGAAGAACAATTGATCACTGTCTTTTTTATAACAGCCCTTAACATGTTTGAAGGTTACTAGGTTCCCCATAGTCGTCTTTCTTAAGAATAAAAACGCCCTGTTTTTAACCTTTCTTCATAAGTCAAGTTTTCTAAACTTCATCATTTTTGTTGCTCTCCTGTGGACTCTCTCTCCAGTTTGTCCCCATTTTTCCAGAAGTGTGGCACCCAGAATTGGGCACAGTACTCCAGCTGAGACTATCCAGCCAAAGCATACCAGCACTTTAATAAAAACAAACAAACAAAAAAAACCAGTGGTGAATGTGAGTTGCAGAAGGCTTGCACCTTTTGTGGACTGTCTTACAAGGATGCAGAAAAGTCAAGAAACAGATATTAAGGAAGCATCCACCAGGCATATTTTGATGGTACTTAGACAGTACTATGGCAATGAGGGCAGCTGTTTTCAACATCAGTACTTTCAGATCCACATGGCCGTATTTATCAGACTATCATATTGAGGGTCAGCAGAAATTTGGGCAATTTGATGTGCCAAATAGGTATGGAGGGGAAGTGAGAAATCTGACATTTCTGATGTGTGAGATCTGTGGTAACAGACCCTTGTATTATGAGAATAGTTTGTCTAAGATCTTTCACAATACTTTTTCTATTTCATCTCAATTGTAGGTTTCAAGTTTTTCAGTCACAGTTAAGAATTTCAGAGTTTCAACTTCCTAAATTTCTTTTTAGGTAAGCACACGAGGGAAGAGGAAAGAAGCATGGGGACTTCAATATGGGCAAGACAGCTAAATGCAGCTTCCAGGGTTACCCCTCAGGTAAGACAACATTTTAACCCTTGTTATAGAACAAGGAGTATGCAGCGGTCAACAAAAAACAAAACCAGTAAACTTGATGAAGGTATCTCCCTACTGCCCGTCTGGTAACTAAATAACTTTGGAGCTGGTAATTGATGACTTATCTGTATCATATTTTATCTGAGCTGTTCTGCCTCTTTGGATGTTTTAGGAAACCTAAGTATATTATAAAATTATTATAAAGACACTAGGTATCTTAAGAAAAAAGGTGAATTTACTGTTCACGAAAGGTTCCAGATTGATGATCCACAGACATGAAGTCTTACTTCAGACGGAGTAAGTTCTAGCTTTCCCATATTGCCCAGTCAAACTTTATTTGGACACTTCACCACCTCTTTCTTTACCCTCTAGTCATACTGCCATACAAAGCTGTCAATTGTGTGGTGGTTTTTGAGATGTGGACACTTGCCCATTAGAAACTGGACTAAGGCAGCTCAACTCATTTCACATAGGCCACCAGACAGTCAGTAGTTGGTGTCATCTTTGAGTTCTTAATCTGGGCTGGATTCAAGTCAGAGGCCAGAAGATGAACGACTCTAAATCCTGTTACCAATTCCTCTGAGCCTCCCAGTTTTTCCTGGCATCTTAAATGCTGTCCATTTTACCTCTATAGCTTGTGTTCACTAGAAATGTTAGTAATACCTCAAGTTACAGGATTCTGATACTATTTAGTAACTATATTTTAATTGCTTGGTAATTTAGTATTCTAGAGGAATATGTAATTACATGGTAAGGCTTATGGTTTTATACTTCCTGATTTAGAACTGTCTGTGTCTTAACTACTGAATATTCAAGACAAAGTGCCAATTTAAATATTCACTGATTGTGATATTGTTCCTTATAGTTAGGAACTGTCTGTGAAATCAAGGACATTGTGTTCACACTTTGGTCCCTGCAAAATAATGAAAGTGGAAAAAGTGGGTTATATATTTTTGTGTGTTCCTTACTTCCCTGTATCTGTATTAGCAACAGTTAAACAGTTTACCACAATTTTAGTGACTTTCATAACTGCATGTGAAAAAAGTTACACAGAAATATCATGTTGTTATAACTTGAGTTTTTGAATGGGCATATACTGTAGAGAAAAGGACAGGATGCTAAAACAGACCAGCTTTATTCCTGTTAGAACTGTATCTTCATTCAGAAATATTTAATTTGTCCAGCAGTACAATGAGAAGAATTAAAAGGTGTTTGCATTCAGAAATTATAAGTCCTCATGTGTGATTGATTTCCCCCCTCCCACCCCCCTTCTGCTCCAGGATACAAGTAAAGCTCAGAAATATATTAAGAAGGAGGGTGCATCAGAAGCTAGTCATAAGGTTCAGGAGAATAGAAATTTTACACACAGCAATGGCTTGAGCTTCCAACATGGCAAGTGCACGCGGGACTCGACCCTGATCCAAGGGGAGTGTCGGTTGAGTGACGGCAGCCTCAGCCCTGATAGGCCATATGGTGAGACATCCTTGTCTATACCCCTTCACCCAACCAAGAGGCCGGCGTCAAATCCACCCCCTATCAGCAACCAGGCCACAAAAGGTAACATTGTCTTCTTCTGTCCTTTTTCCCTCCAGAAAACCTGGTTTCCTATTTTTGATTATCTAGAAGCTTAAGAAAAACTTGTCTGAAACATAAGCAGCAAAAAGTGAAGACCTAGACTTTGACAAAAACCCAACATAAGCATCACCTTGCAGTCAAATTTTGGCATGGGGTAGTTGTATAGGGGAAAAAGAGAGATTTAATGGGGTTATGCCCAATTTGAGCTTTCCCTAGTTAGTGCTGACAACTTCTGCAAATTTATCAGCTATGAAGTAATGATATCTAGTTTAGATTAAGCATCTGGGCTTTTTTCTTCTTTCTGAGATGAGATACTCAAAGTATGAGGCTTTAAAGGTGATGGTCTTAACTAGTTATCTCCTTAGCTGTGTAATTTAGTTGAGTACAAATCTGAGGGAAGGGCACAATTCAGAGAGCAGAGATTAGTGGGTTTTCCTATTTAAATTAGGAAAATCTGGAAGTATATAATCAAATTCTCTATTATAATGCTGACTGTAGCTTAGGAAAAGTAACTCTGAATTTCACGTGTCCATTATGCCCACTGCTTTGGTCCAAAACAATTGGACAGAGATGAACTGCGATGTAGAAAAGTCAGACTACAGGAGAGAATCTGCTTTCCATTTAGGTTTATCTGTTTTACAAAATCGGTTCTAAAAATAGACTGATATACTGGTTTCAATTTTCCAGGCAAGCGTCCAAAGAAAGGAATGGCAACTGCCAAACAGCGCCTTGGGAAGATCCTTAAGCTGAACCGAAATGGCCATGCACGCTTCTTTGTTTGATGTAGCTGCTACTACTGCTGCTGCTGCTGTCTTTCCTTCACAGCCAGTATTGAGGGCAGCAGAGCCTGGAGCTTCTGCTGTTCCTCTGCCCGAAGCAGACTTGCATGTACCATGTAGAACACTGCCTAATGAACAAAAAAACCAATGCTGCATTTTCACTGTGCCACACCCGCTCAGCAATAACCATTTGGGAATGGGGAAATCTTCAGAGAGACAATGGACTGGGAAACAGTCTCTCATCAGGGCTTGAATATCACTTTGTTGCTGGTAGTGTCTGAGCTAATTCATGAGGGGGAGATGATAAAGGTGGTTATCCATAATTTATTTCTGACAGATTTTTACAACTTTTAAATTCATTTTTAACTATTTATTTGGAAGACTTTTTTGTGGGGGTTATTAATTTAGATTTAAGAATGTGAAGGTTTTTAATTGTTCTTGATAATGTATGTTTGGTGCAGTGGAGAGCCACATTAATGGTGATTAGTCTGGACTCCTAAATTTGATATTCAGGTTATAGTCTTAAACAGGGATGTGATGCATTATTAATTATTTTTAAATTAAGTCATATGAAATCATATTTTATATTTTTTCTGCTCTTTATAAGCTATTGGTTGGGCTTTTGTTGCCCTGTAAGGTGCATGCGCTCTGCCAATTTAGTTCCCTTAGCCTCTCCCCATTCTGTACACATTGCTGACTCACCAAAGTGGAAAAGCAAAGACTCTTCTGTCTACAAGGAGAGCATGATTATTCAAGTTCAGTAGCTAACGTCTTAAAAAGCACCCCTCCCTCAAATTGGGGTTTATGCTCTTCCTTCTGACATGGTTGGTGTTCGGTCCAGGCCATGTGATTTTTCTCTCTTAAGGAAAAAATAAAATTGCTTTGAGAAGTTTTGTTATATACAACTTAGTTTAAATGTTAGTACAGAGGAGAGCAACTTTTATATTTTCCTGGGGGATGGGAGAGAGTGCAATATAATGGGTTAAGTTTCATATTTCAGAATAATTGTGTTGGTTGAAGAAAAAATTCTTAAAATATAAATTGCAGAATTAAGATTTGGCAGATGACTTCCTGTGGTGGGTGGAGGGAGCACTAAAACCAGTGATAATCATTAGTGTACTTCAAAAATGTATTTTACTGAGGAACTAAGGAGGCAGCTGAACATGTGCTGCTTGCAAGGCTGCACATGAGCCACTTTCAGTCTTAACAGGTGCATATGTAAGTGTTGAGTTTAGTAGCTAGCTGATCTCAGAATGATCATTTGTGCCATGCTTTACATAGAGCTGATAGTAAATGCCAATTCTGAATTACCTGTAAATAATGTTGATTTTAAATTTGTATTTTTCTGTAATATAAAATTAAATATTTAACTTTTCAGGGTGGGCGGAGAGGGGAACAACTTTACTTGATTCTGTAAAAAGGGCATTTTGCAGGGTCCAGCCAAAAGTAAAACATTGATGTGCTGGGGATACCATCCTGTATAGTGAGAGTGAAAAGGCTTGGCTTAGCTATCCAATTTATTGTTTTGTCTTAACTTCACTCAGTTTGCCTGTCCTCCATATTCTGTCCTGGATAGCTTCTTCCTGCTGTGCTTAAAAACAAATTCAACTGTACCTTCCTGATTTACATGTAGCTATATCCGTGTATACAGTTAGATTAAAGATCAGAACTAGCTAGGTGAGGGCCATCCCATTTCTGGATGAGGAAAAAATCAAAATATAACATGGGTATGCATTGGGCAAATAGCATTCATGATTTTTCTTTTTCCAGAACTTGCAAATTGTTTTTCTCTTCGTCCCTGCCCAGCTTTTGATTTGAAAGTAGTGTAGACATCAGAGTTAATTGATTTTGCTAACCCATAGCCAAAAACATGTTGGATGACAGGGAGCAGTTACTCTACAGGTTTCAAAAGTGACCAGAAATAATAATGTTCTCAGGCAAGAAATTTTCCAGTCAGTAATGATGAGAGGAAAAAATACTTTCAACATTCAGTATGAAATTTTAATTCTATCTTCTGATATATTCTCATGGAAATATTTGATAAATATGTAGCATGTTATCAATACTGGTTTAAATTTATAAGAAAAAAGCTCACCTCTGATCTGTTTGTGTCTGCTCAAGGGAAACCAGGTCATACCTGCCAGGCTTTGAGTAACTGGGTCAGTTCTGGCAAACCAAACCGAACTGCTTTTCTCTTACTGGCTATCTTTTTTTTTAAATATTAATTAAGACAACAGAAGTATTTCACAAGGGACATCAAGCAGAATTGGAGGGGAGTAAAGACTGTTTTTTTAATGTAGATTCTGAGAACACTACTCACTGAAACAGAAATATGTCATAATGGAATCTGGAATTAAGGAGGTTTGGAATATGGAACATACACAATGCTGCTTTCCCTGTGACTTGTCTGCAGCAGGTCTCTCTTCTAAGCCTCCTCATTAGCAAAGTATATAGCTATCATCTTACTAGTAGAAAAAGTACTTGGCTGGACCCATATATGTTTAATGGTTATTTCTAGTTTTCTTTCTTTTTCCCTTCTCTCCCACTTTTTCAAGGTGGCTCTCCATTGTAGTGAGTGTACTAATGTCTCTTCATAGGCTGTCAACAGGCAGAGGTTCATTTCCATTTTCTCCTGATTTCCATGCTTCCAGCAGAAGTCTTTAAGAGACTAAAACTTGATTTGGGGTGAGAGGGAACCTCAGTCAATCAGTTTAAAAGAAATTGTCTTGATAATTGATAACAAATGAGTCTCCTTTTGGTAGCTTGATGAAGAGGATGTGCTGATCTCACTTGTTCATGTATTTGTATGTTGGGATGTTATTATATTCTTGGAAGAAAACACTGTTGCACCAAGCTTTTTGTAGATGGACTGATCCTGGTGCTATAGAGGTGGAGAGAAAACCTGTCTTTTCTCACATTTCACTTTTTGGGGGGAGGGGGTAGATGGATAGGAGCACTGCTATGGGGCTGCCGAGGGACTGAGCCCTCCTATGGGAACTCATTTTCAAGGAGGATATTTAAAGGGGGGGAAAAAGACATGAAGAATATGGACTTTAAGATAAAATTACTGTACTTATTTTTTAAACTTTCTGTTGCTAGAAGGAAAAATTATATGAAATGAAACACTTGGGGGTTGCTCTTCTCCAGGTACTCAAGTTCTTATAATTTTTAAAAAGAAAAATGTGAAAATGGAAAGACCACCTAGAAATTATATCAAGGACTCTTCCAGCAACTTTCCCCTTTCTTCCTGTACTATACTTGCTAATAAAGCCTGGCTACAAAGTAGCCCTTAATGACCTCTGAGGTAGATTACCTATGCAACCTATAATATTCTTCAAGAATTATTTCATGTAGAAATCATTTCAAAAGGGTTTGATGTTAAGAATGAACAATTATTACTTTCTGGCCACATTTTAAGCTGAAGTACCTGTATTAATTTTAATAGAGAGAAGAGAGCACAGTGTCATGGCCATCCTTTAAAAAGCTTCAGCTTTCCCAAGCTGTGTTCTATGGCACAGGCTGCTTTCATTCACCAGGGCATGAAGTCCTACATTTTGAAACCTTTGCAGGAGTTTAACCCAGGGCTGAGTTATTATCTGACTGACCCTTGGTTGGTAATTGTAGGGACTGAGCAAGGCTGAGGCTAGAACCAAACCATAGCTAGTGACCCCCTCTAGCCTCCATGCCACCAAAAATCTTAGTGTCTTTTTAAAGCTCTTTTATATAATACTTCCAGACCATTAAAGGCTGTCCATGGCCCTGGGACTAAGCAAACCTAGAGCCGCTTTATTTTGCAGAAGAAATAGAAATGAAACCAAGGCCTTACTGTTTGTGGTTAAACTGGATTAAAAAGCTGCAACATCCATTTTTCAAAACAAAACAAAACAAAAAAACACCACAAAACCATTTCTGGTTGCAAAACAAATGGTGAATCATGCAGGGGGTGGGAAATATGAATAGCACTGATTAGGAAATGCATGTGCTTCTTCATAAGCTGCATTTCCTTTTGGAAAAGGACTTTTTTCTACTTTTAATAAAAAAATTAAGCCATAACAGTTTCATTCTGTGGGACGGGAGTGAAAGGGATCACTTTAAGAGATTATATTAATATGAATTATCACTTCTGCTGGGATATGTCTAATTTTGTCAGTGCTTTGGCAGTTATTTCTTTTTTTAAAATCCATGAAATTTGAAAAAGGGGATAGTTCTTGGCTATATTTACTAGTTTTGTAGTAAGGTTTTGCTGGCCCATTTCTTTCCCTCTCCCTTTTCTACTCTGTCTAATTTCTATCCTTTTTTGTAACATCTGTGGAAAATATTGGCTTGTCTGCCTGAATAGGGGTCTCCGTGTGCATGCGTTGGGTGTGTGTGTGTGTGTGTGTGGGTGTGTCTTTTTACAGAAACGCACTACAGTGTTGAGTATTTGGCTGGGAAAGGGGATGCTGCAGCTTTAAGAGCATTTTTTCAATTCATAACAGTATTTCCCATCCTCTTTTGCCTGCAGGCAGGGAAAATGTATGTACAGTATTTATTTTCGTTTCAATTTTACTTTAAATTTGTAAGTTTCTATAAGTAGCTCACATTGGTTATTCTAGGGGAGGACAAGTGGCTTGTTTAAATTTGTATTTGATATTCATAGTTTCCAGTTTCTGTACTTTAAAATATTGAAATTAAAAAGTTGTACTTATGTTTTGATTTTAGCAATCTGTAGTGTTTAATTTCTACAGGTTTTTGTTCACTTGCTTAAAAGTGTAAATACAGAAAGTTGTAAAAAAAAGTCTTATGAGGAAAAAAAGCTTAATTCTGTTTCTAGGTCTGATTTTTGTGGCCGTTATTTGACTCTTGATTTTGATGAAGATGTACTTGAGAGATGTGGGGAGTGCAGTACATTTTCTTACTATTTTAAAGTGTAAGTTTGCTTTCTATCAAAACAGTCTCTGGGAGCTGAATGCATTTTGTGAGGATGTATACTGTCTTTTTTTGACACATAAATGTAAAAAGAAATGGTTGAGACTTCCAGGGGTCCATTACTTAGTAAACTTCAAGAAATTGATCCAATTTGGAAACATTTTAATGCCGAAAGAAATTATTTTTTCCTTTTCTTCTTGCCTCTTTTTTTCATATTCTTTCTTTTTGGTCAAGTTTGCCTTATGTTCCTGATGTCTCTGGCTTTTCTGGGAGCAGCTCTTCCTGTCGGTGACTGACGAGGTACTGTTTATGGTAGAAGTTTCTAGCACTCACTCACCCCCTCTTTTTATTTTTTCTTTACCAACATTGTCTCATTTCCTTTTATCCTTGCCTGCTTTTCTGTCCATTCCATCTGCAACTGCATCATGTTTCCTTTCACAATCATCATTGGTCCTCCGTTTGTATTCATGTGTCGCTACACCACTGGGAGGAAGAAGCACTGTCACACTGCATTTAGAGTTAGTGTAATGTTTTCTCTTTCTCTACAAAGATAGTGCTGTGTGCTGCTGAACTGCTGCAAAGACTTGCCTGGGCGAAACATTCCCTCTATCCCATGCAAGTGGTGTGCTCCAATATCACAGTGATGGCCACGCCACGGTATTAAAATCTTAGGTGATGTGTCAGTGGGCTCAGGAGAAAAGGATGGCAAAAATTGGTTTTTGTTTTTTTGTATCCTGTGTATGTAGCCAAGTCACTTACTCCGCAGGCTGGCTCTCAGCTTATTGGGAGAACATACAAGGTAACTAAAAATACAATACACAGAGTCTGTGCTGCTTTGAACCTACCACAAAGGGATCATACTGTCTCTTGCTCCTCCCCAAAGATAATTTTTAATGAGAAATAATAGTTCCTCAGTTTAACTTTGTGCAATTATTGGGAGTGGTATTTCCATCCATGCACAGAGATTTAAACTGTAGTATACCTGAAAGAACTATTTGTGATCCAAATATATACCCTGGTGGTAACTTGTGAAATTGCAAGCCACACTTTTATGAAGAAGTCAACAAAACGAAGACCTGCTAATACAGTCCCCTGTGATGGGGAGAGGAGGAGTGTGAACAAGCTTCTAATTACTTAATACTAATATACACTTTGAAAGAGATATTCATCTTCATGCTTCACTCTTAAGCCAATCTATAATTAGTAGGTATTGGGAGGTTTCTTCCACCTTCTTAAACATCTGGTGTTGGCCACTGTCAGGATACTGGACTGGATGGCCCATGGGACAGATCCAGTATAGCAATTCCTGTTTTGCAATGAATTGTATGGGGAATTACATGCTTCAGTTCCATCATGTGACAGTTATTTTATTTATGACACTATATAGTGCCTTTTCAATGTGGATAAAGTGCTTCTGCATTAGTGGGTTTTGAATCCTCAGAGTGGGAAGCAATCAGAAGAATATTTTCACTGTTTAAACTGAATGTTTTAAAAAGTGGTGTTAGGAGGAGCTTGGATGGCTCAGATCAGGGGTTCTCAAACTTCATTGCACCACGACCCCCCCTTCTGACAACAAAAATTAAGACATGACCCCAGGAGGGCGGATCAAAGCCTGAGTCTGCCTGATTCTCTCTGCCCTGGGTGGGGGAGCCGGAGTCAAAGCCCAAGCCCCACTGCCCTGGGTCGGGAAGGGGTCAAAGCTGAAGCCAAAGGGGTTCAGCCCCAGCCAGGGGACCTGTAAGAGCCCTGCAGCCTAGGGCTGAATATCTCAGGCTTCAGCCCCAAGCTCCAGCAAGTCTAAGCCAGCCCTGGTGACCCCATTAAAATGGGATTGTGACCCATTTTGGGGTCCGGACCCACAGTTTGAGAACTGCTGGCTCAGATGTATAATAGGTAGCCTTTTGCTTCTGGATTGTCAGTTCACATTTAGCCTGTGTCAGTGGGGATCAGGTTACTATCTATCTCATGGCTGTGAAATGAGTTGATCACACTCCAAATGCTAATGGTCAGATGTGCACATTATAAAATGAGTGCCACAAGTGACACTGAAGTTTCCAGTCTTAGCAGGGAGAATAAAGTATTAAATGTGACATCAATCTGAATTCTCATTCCCAGCAACTGTTTCTCCAGCTCAGGATTGAGGCACTAGTGGGACGTTGTGGAGAAATGCAGTGTATCTAATGTACTTTTTCTGTGGTTAAATAAAATGTCAAGCTTCAACACTATTAACCTAACTTTTTTACCCATATGAAATTCACCTTTTAAAAAGTTAAATCCACAATATTTAAGCACAATGGGAAGTGATTTATGATGCGTCAGTGGGTATCTCAGTTGCCCTGATTAGAAATCGCGTTTTTTAGTAATGAAGTGGTTGCTGACAGGAGCGTTTTTGTTTTGTGGGTTTTCATTTAATTTAAAAATTTAATCTTCAGTAGTGTTCTTGACAAATATCCATGTGTATTGCATATGTAGAATACATGTTTATAATGCCTACTAGGAGGATTCCCTGTAGTTTGTGCGGTTGCTCAAAGTGGCTGGAAAGATGACATTCTCTCTGAAGCTGAGAGCAGCCCCTCTGCAGCATTGCCAGACTCTTGAGTGAGAAACCCTAACCATAGCTGTTTCTAAACTTTTTTCCAAAACTCAAATTGTCCTCAGGCAGCAGCATCAAAATAATACATTCAGCATATCCTTACCCTCCACCCTCGTCTTTCCCTTTCTTTCAATTTCCATTTTCTTTAAAATAGAAGGAAAAATTCTAGTTGCTAAATACAACAGTTTTGCTGCCACTATCATTTTCCAGCATCACCTTTAAATAACACTTTTACTGTTTTGAGAATAAACTTAATGCCTAAGGGTTAGGGCTAGTAGTGACCTCCTGCACAATTATCATGAACAGTACTCCCAGTCCTCTTTTGCTTGGTTGTGAAGTTCAGAAGTTTGATAGGAGAGTGATCTCCGACTTTGTGGCTGGGTTTAACCAAATTGGTCGGTGAGAAGACTGATGTGTCCCTCCCTACACTGAAAGACTCCATGGCCACTCTCTGCTCAGTCTATCCTGGGCAGCTTCAACGTGAAAGTTGCTCAGGCATACTTTAAGGATTTTGGAAAACGATTTCTTCTCTCTAAATTATCGTATTTTCTTACTCCCTTTCCCTGTTATTGGTTCGTATAATGATATGCATTGAAGGTAGCTTTGTCCTTTGCTCCATTTATTGGAAAACGCCACCATCCAGTTTGACTTCAGATTCACCCCCACAGTAATGAATTATTGGTGTTGGGAGTACTGGATTGTAACATCACTGAAGTAGTCTGACTCTAAAAAGAAACCTTTTTATATGCGAGCATCTGAACAAACCAGCATTAGGTAAGGGTTCATGAAGGTGACCATGGTAATGTTAACATTAAAATAGCTTTGGTCCCCACTTATGGTCTGATATTATTGAAGGTCTTGTGGATCCCATTGCTTGGATTCTTTACCAGCTGCTGCCAAGAATGTGCCTTTTTGTGTTAAGTCTGAAGTCTGGGCATTGATGCAAGAGACCTTCAGTAGGTCTGGATTTCCTGTGGGATGACTTCCATCAGGACCTGTAGCTTGACCGTCATGGAATCTAAACACAATGCAATGAAGAGGTGAGAGGAGAAAACACTGGCTGAAAAGGAAGCCAGTTTGGGGGCGGGGAAGGGGAAGTTTATGCCATAAATGAAAACTGCTGAACTAGGACAATCTCTGTCCAAAGAGTCCCCCAGCACTCCTTCTGCAACACCGCTTACACAGAATGAGTGAAAACTGCACCAAGGACCAACTCCCCTGTGCAACCCTCTGTCTTAAATAGCCACCTTTAAAGTATTCTTATGTGGCTTCCAGTGCAGTTTTGTTTGACCTCTACTTACCAGGGGGTGCCTAATACAAAGGGGCCCTGATTTATGGCATCAAGGTGCTGCTGTAATCAAATAATACATATGACTTGCAACCTGTTGCATAAGAAAGGTCTTGTGTGTGCTTTTTCTGGAGAACTCTTCCTTATTTCCCAAATAGGCCTGATAGTGGGTAAGGACAGCAGATTCTCAGATGCATAGTGATAAGTTGTAAGAACCTGAATCAGACAGACTATGACTAGTGGATAAAGGGTGAGGAGATTATAATTGCAGTGCTGTCTAGCCTGCTGCTATTGTCTGTGGTTGGAAGGGTAATGACGCTTTTTAATCCTAGAATTGGATGTTTGTGGTGAGTCACTGCTAGTGTATGCATAATTTTGCATGGGAATATGCAAGACTCACACTTTTGTTTTAAAATATCCCTGCTTCACAAGTACAACATGGGGCAGGGGTTACTTGCTGGTTTGAACTAGAGTAAATGGTGGATTCTCGGCAACTTGAAGTCTTTAAATCAAGATTTAAATCAAGTAACTCAGGCAGAGGTTAGGGCCTGTAACAGCAGTGGGTGGGTGAGGTTTTGTGGCTTTCGATGTGCAGGAGGGCAGGCTAGAGGATCATGATGGTCCCTTCTGGCCTTAAAGTCTGAGTCTATGAATCTCTTCCTTTTTAAGGTCAGAAGGAACTATGGTGATCATCTACTCTGACCACTTGCATTAACACAGGCCATAGAACCTTAGCTTTGAGATTCCTGCATTACACGTGTTTGAACAAGAACCTATTTTTTAGAAAGACATTCGGTGTTAGATCTAAAGTTACTGCCTGTACTTACTGAACATTGCACTGCAGCTGGCTGGTATTCTTGACTTCTGGACCACTAGATAGTAGACAGGCAGACCGGTCAGAGTTATGGC